AAATTTAGGATTTTTAGTGCGGCTTATGGTCGTGAAAATACGGTAATTATTGTATATCACAAAGTACACTAAATTCTCCCTTCAGATAATTTTTTCTTCTGTGTGAAAATAATGTAGTATTTTAATTTTGCCAGGAGATGGCAGGTCAGAACAATAAAGTATTTGCCAATATAAGGGCTGCCTGGCTAAACTCATCTATATAGCAGAGTACTAAAGCTCTTGTTCCTGTAACCTTTAATTGGTGAAAATGATGTCTCACTGGACAACTGTTTTTGAATCGATACCTCAAATGAGTTAACTTTATAAAATACTTTATGACAAAAACATACTTTATAAAATTTTTTATGACAGAATACAAAATAGCATAAAGCATTTCCTGAGGTCAACTCTTGATGTTTGACTGCTCGGTAGTTCAAGATGGGCTGCTTTCAAGGTAGATTCATTTCTGAATATCTCCCAGAATTTTAAAGAACTTTTGCAGTAAAGGCAGTACATTGAAAGCTCTGTAACTGTTGAAAGCATTGAGGAGTCTGGTAAGTAAATAATTCTTAAATGATAACTCGGGGGTGAAGGGTTGTATGGTATTTGATTATTGCTGAAAAATATTTTATTGTAAATAACTTCTATGCCTTTAGCAGTTTGATGTGTACTGTAATGATTATTAGATAAAGGTACTGTAATCTCTGTCATGAAAAGACTAAATAGTGGGGAAAGGGGGAGAAGGTGCTACGATGCTGTTAAAGTCTCATTTCTGTTCAGCTGGCTAATATAACCCTAATTGGGCCACAAAACAACAAAGCAAAGCACAACACAAAGCAAAATATTTTTTCTATGAGGGCATAGAGAGTGCATATTATATTAACCTGTAGGTAAAATAAGTTATACTGGAGGACTATCCATACCCTTTGGAAGGGGAACCAATGCTCCTTCATATCTTATTTTAATCTGTCTGTCAATTATATCATTTTGGAAAGCTGAAATAAAGAACAGATTTAATTAAGATGAGAAAATTATATTGCTATTAATCCATCCATCCATCTATTGATAAAATTTATTGGCCACCCATCTTACAATAGGGTAACTGGGTAGCTTACAGTCATTAAAATACATATACATTAAAATATAAATAAATTAAAACCAAACATTAAAATCAAAGGTCACATGGGGAGGGTGGAAGTGTAATGGGAGGAGGTGGGATCTGTTATTTGATCAATCACCTCCACTATGCTGTTTCCCCATTGGGAACCAAAACCAACTGGCAGAGCCACATTTTCAGGCCCTTACAAAAGGATAGGAGAGTTGGAGCCAACCTCACATTGGGAGCAATATATTCCAGAGAGCAGGAGCAACAGCAGAGAAGGCCCTCCTCCTGGACCCTGCCAGCCAGAAAAATCAGGCCCACAGCATGCCTCCTCTACCAGCATGAGTAGGATCAGCCAATCTGATTGGGGTGACACAATTCCTCAAATAACCTGGACCCATGCCATAAAGGGCTTTAAAGGTGATCATTAACACCTTGAATTGTACCCGGAAGCAGACTGCAACCAACGCAGCTCGCAGAGCAACAGTGTTACAGGGGCCATTCTTGGGCCCTCCAAAACTGCCCACACTGCTGCATTCTGCACCAGCTGTAGCTTCTGAAAGCTCTTCAAGGCTAGTCCTATCTAGAGCAGATTACAATAGTCCAGCTGCGAGATGACCAGGAACTAAATGACTGAGCACAGGAAATCCTGATCCAGGAAGTATCGCAACTAGCACACAACACAGAATGGATCTCCTAGCCATGACTACCACCTGCTCTCAAGCAGGAGTTGTGAGTCCTGTAGAACACGGGTCTCCAATCCTGGGTCACGGCCCACTCCTGGGCTGTGGCCTATTTACAATCAGACCAGGGAATACACACGCATGCAGCTTAATTTGCATGAGTGGCAGGTCAGAGCACATGCACACAGCTGTACCTATGGAGCAGTGGGCCAAGGTGCAAATGCTGCATGTGCATGTGTGCCAACCCACCATTTGCACAGCCTCCTCCCTGATGGGATGCCAAGCTGCAAAGGTTTGTAAATGCTGCAGTAGAGGCCCCAAATTTGCGGACTCAATTTTTTCTGGGCCAGTGCCAGCCAGAGGCAAAAATAGCAAAGTCCCTGTACCCAAAGCTGTTTGGCTTGATCAGAGTTCAGTCAAAGCCTGTTGTCTCCCATCCAGGCCCCGACAGACTTCTGGCACGGCAAGGGGGTGGCCACAGCATCACTTGGGTCATCAAAAGTGGAAATACAGAGAAAAGCCACTGAGAGGTAAAGAAGAGCATGGATTGTCCCCAACTCACTCTTGTTAGAGATCATCAACAAATGTGACCAATACCATTTCTGTCCCATAACCAGGACTGGATCCTGACTGAAAGGGGTCTGGATAATCCATTTCATCCAGGACTCTCTGCAGCTGCCGGGCCATCACCTTTTCCATTTAACTACATCTGTTTTTTATTTCAACTTTTTCAAATCTAGTGCTCCCTTGATGTGTTGCATTTTCATTTATTTATTTTCAAGCCAAATAACTACATGTGATAATATTTAATATCTGCATTTGGACCTTAAAGACATAGCATAGTCACTTGAAGAATTGACAGAATTGTGATTAAACCTTGTCTCAGTTCTCCCCTTTCCTTACAAAGACAAGGAATTAAGAAGAAATGTTTTGTATTGTTTCCCTCAACTATCTTTGAAAAAAATGTGATATTTTCCCTTCAAGAAACATTATTGTACATGCAAAGATTATATAAGAAACAACCTCTGCAATGAAAGGTAATGCTGAAAGAACTGTTCTGATTATTGGAATGGGGGAAGATTTATGTGGTAGAATAGTAGATTTGGAAAACACGTTTTTTAAAGATGTAGATGCTTTTTTCATGCAATAAGAGAGACATGATGTAAACTAGTTTTTCTCTCATGGCTGGCTGGGAAATTTTGTCCATGCATCTTAAAGTGGCTAAGGTTTAGAAACATTGATATAGACCAGTGATGGCTAATCTTTTTGGCATCGAGTGCTAAAATTGGAGAGTGCACTGGAGCGCCAGAGCCCAAAAGAGAACAGCTGGCCTTATGGGTTCTGTCATGCGCATGCACACCGGACAGCTGTTCCGATGCACATGCACACTGGCCAGATGTTTTCTTCTGGAACAGCTGGCCGGCCTGCATGTGCGCACCGGAACCAAGAAGAGCAACTACCCACTGTGTGCATGCGCGCCGGACCAACTGCCGACTCCGTGCATCTGCACTGGACCAACTGGCCGGTTCTGATGCAGTGACAAAACTCATAAAAGCAGCTGCCCACAGAGAGTCACTGTCTGCCACATAAGCTCTCTATGCCAGGAATCATAAAGATACACTACAGGGGAATGATCCTCATTATTCCCATTTAGTACAATTTATTAATGTATGAAATTGTATACTGCCTGGCTCTTGATGACTCTGGGTGGCTCATCATAATCAAACATTCATATTTCATGTATAGTTTGCATTTTTAAAAAATGCTTGCTCTGGTTTAGAATCTTGCCTTAACATGTTCTCTTGGTTTAGGAGAAAGTGCTTGCTTCTGGATAGCTACTTTTAAAAAGTGAGTAGAGAAAATGTTTGTTTAGAAATGCTAGATATAGTGATCCGGTTTGTCCCCTTTTGTTGCAACTGGCAGAGGTTCTGAGTTTTCATTGTGACTTGGTTGATCATCTTGATGTACTCTGTGCTTAAATGAGAAAAGGCTTCAGAAGGAAGCCATTTAATTCAAAATCAACCCTTTTCCCCACTCCCCAGCAACATGTTTTTTCCTCTTTTTTGAAATGGAAAGAAAACAAACACTGCTTCAGAAGACTATTGCTTCCAAAATGAGGTCAGGAAAGTTGGTATTCTCGCATGAGGATGGGACTATGACTGTGAGAGAAGTACAAAAAGAGAAGAATCATGGTCTCTCTAGGGTTTTTTTTCTCTCCTGTCCAACCTTCTTTCTCCATATTTGCTGGAGAACTGAAATGCTGTGCTACATTTATTTTTCTCTCTCTAGCAAACCTATACAACTGCTAGAAAGGAGAAAAGCTTAATTGGGAGATGGGGTGGAGGTTATAGGGAAAAATATCAACCTTGAGGAATGCCTTCCAGGAGGTGGATATTCCTCCTTCAAAAGTCTGTGTGTGTGTGTGTGTGTGTGTGTGTGTGTGTGTGTGTGTGTGTGTGTGAGAGAGAGAGAGAGAGAGAGAGAGAGAGAGAGAGAGAGAGAGAGAGAGAACAAGTGGATCCAATTAGATTGCAATTCCTGGTTAGGCTCCTCCCTGCCAACCAGAATGTTTGTCCAGAGAGTTGTATTGTTTTTTCTGATGGAAAACATCACTCTTGCCAGATCATTTTGATGTCTTGAACAAACAGCAGTTTACCTTGGCACCATAGCAAGAAAAGTGGGTGGATGAAGTAGAAAACACCAATTCAGATAAGTGATATTAACCAAAGAATTTAGAGAAGATTTGGTGACAACAAGCAAGAAAAATGATTGGAGAACCTTTGGTGAGAATTAATGCTGAATAAACTTACCAAGGTTGATTCACCTGAGACTCTTATGTTTTTAAATCCTCTCTTAATGCCAGTGACTGTTCACTGTTGGGAATTTTAGCATTGGTTTTGCCTACCCAGCTTCTCCTTACTATACTGGCTAATTCTTCTGAAAAATATTTAAATATTTCCTAATATCTGAATGGATATTCATTGTATGCCTAACAAAGCCGAAGCCCATCTCCTGTTTCCTCAAGATATGCTGTTGTGGCTGCCAGCCCTGGATAGTGTCCCGCTTGCTAACAATGCTGTATTGGCTTAGTGCTGGCACTTTGCCTACTCATGAGGCAGACTGTTGTTTTAATATAATAATCGTCTTGTTGCACAGTGTTTAAGTAACGGTCACCTGCACTAGCTTGCTCAGCTGTTTCTTACAGAGTTGGCTGCTTTAGCAACAACCCCCAGCCTGAGAGAGCTCACTATTTAATTTTAAAGAGAATGGTAGAATTTGGTTTTTCTGATTTCCTCTAAACTTTCTTCCAAACCAAAACTTGAAATTGATATCTATGTTGTTTCTTATATTTTGATAGCTGCCAAAAGTTGTTTCTCCCTCTTCGCTCTTTATCTTTTATTTCTCGTAGCGAGGCTGGATCCACCATTTGTGAAAATTGAAGACCATAGCAGATAAAGGGAGCATAGTAGAATTTCATCTTCTGGCTTTTTAAAGTTGGATACATCAGACTTTGGCACACCCTAACACACACAAGTTCGTCCACCTATAGTGAATGCATGGGTTGAGCATCTGTTGTGGGTAGAGTGGTTCAGATGCAGCCTAAGGTTTTCCATCTGGTCTCTTGAAAGTTTAGAGAGGCCTTTGCTCCTCCCTGGAGCCTCATTTCTCATAATTAACCCTTAGTACATTTTTTGCAAGTCTAAAGGTTCCCCTCGCACATATGTGCTAGTCGTTCCCGACTCTAGGTGGGGTGGTGCTCATCTCTGTTTCAAAGCCAAAGAGCCAGTGCTGTCCAAATACGTCTCCGTGGTCATGTGGCTGACATGACTAAATGCCAAATTATTTATCTGGAAGAATACTACTTCCAGCATTTTTTGTTCCAGCATTTTTTGTTCTTGTTTTATTTTAAAACAAGAATAAACTAACTGTCTATATTTTTTCAGGATAGTGTAAGCCACAAAACATTCAAGAATTTTAACAGGATTGTGCAATCCTTGACTGACCTCTGGTTATTTCTTGCCATCACTTTTTCCCAATTGGAAGTCCTGTATACTGACTGGGAGTTGGTCTAACATTTATGGAGTTCACCATGGCTGGGGAAAATGGCTGCTCCTAATTTTCTCCCCAAGACTCAGTTATTTTTCTCCTCTTTATCTATGCACTTTCTTAAAAGTATTTAAGACTTTTCCTCAACTATATTTCCTATCATCAAGAACATGTAGCATATTTGAACCCAATTCAAAGTAAGTATATGTATTGGAATTGGGGAAGGAATAAAATCTATTTAGGAAAGATTTAAACACAATAAACACAACCCAAACTTCATGTGTGGCTTAGAAGCAAGGAAAAATTCTACCTCTAGTAGTATTTCTCCTCACTTTGTGCTCTGATGGAAAAAAACAGAAATGTTGATAAGCGGAGCTCCCTATTTTCATATTCAGAAAATAGTTTTGGATCTAGATGAGCATTATAGGTTGCGCACAACACCCCCCACCCCCGAGATTGGTTCATAGTTCTAATGAATAAAAAGCAAGGTTGAGATTTATGTGAGGTAAAATGGGAATTCTTATACATGACTCTTTCTGTCTCTGCAGAGAATCCAAAACCAGACAATCACCCAGTAAGCCAAGAACTCTCTTTATCGTTCCCAAAGCACAGAAAGGCCACTGTGAGTGTTGTGGAGAAGATTTCAAAGATTTACAGATGGTAAGAAAGTACACTATCTAGAATTGCCGTAGACATTTTTAGGCTTTATTGAGATGTCTATTTATGACAGCATCTGTCATTCCTGGACCAGGTGCGTAAAACATGAATTTCATGTAGTTAAAGTTGTTACTGCTAACAGCATTATGACTGATACGTAGCGGTATGTTGCAAATATCTTTGCATAGAATTCCATTACAATACATCATAAAATAGTCACATACAGTAGCTAAATTAAAACGTTGGATAAAAATTATTCTTTCTTACCCAAATATTCAATTAATTGGTGAAAAACCATCAAAGAATGGCAGTGGACACTCTTGAGGAGTTTTACTGCTCCCTTGCCTAATAGTGCAGACTTACCTGAGGTAGAACTATATTGAATGCTGTTGAGACTAGTGGGTGGCTATCTCTACGTTTATTGCTTCAGAAATTATAAAATCTGGTAGTTTTCTTTGAATCTTCTACATTCCTCAAACAGAATGAGCTGCTGGACATCCTGATAATAGAATGAAACCTGAAAACCAGATCCATTTTGAGATGTTTTGAATGAATGCTCTTGGGTAATTTAAACCTACCTTGATTCAGCTCTTGCCTTTTTAAAAAATAGGCTATTCAATTGTTTTGCTTTGTCAGTTAAGTTCCAGAGCACAAAGCCTTCTACCTGCCTTTTCACAGAAGAATTTTCCTTTCTTTGTCTGGGTGGTAGATATAATGAGATGCTTTGGTTTAATATTCTTGGTTTTTTCCCATTTCCATTTACAAATTTTGCTCATTGTGTTAACTTTCTGATGGCATTTTCTTCACAGGATCTTCAAAGCTTGCAACATCAGGAATTTTTCCTGGATTTCCTATGCTTTGTCCTATGCTTTCTTAGATAGCATCCTCTCCCAACTGAGCAGTGACTTTGTGTCTTCCTGCACTCCACTGCTGAGGTATAAGTATGATCCATAGGTAGAGAAAAAGAGTATCAAAGATGATACTGTTTCAAAGTATGAGATTTCTGATTTCCCTTTGCTTACTAAAGATTTTGTGTCCTCCCCACCTCTAAAAAAAGATCCCCCCTTCCTGCAACTAGCAAAACATGCAGGCAGAAGAGAGAGACAGACAGGAGTAGATCTTTAGTGAGAAATTATGTCCGGAATTCATCCTGGTTTTGAAAGCAAATTTAGGATTCTTATTCTTCAGATCAATGCAAGATGCCCACATAATAAAGCCAAAATTCTGGGTATGTATCTAGAGTAAGCTCCCCACTCCTCTCTCCCTCTTTCTCTCCCTCTTTCTCTCCCTGTTTCTCTACTGTGTATGTGTGCATTAGTGAAGATTGTATGGAAAGAATAGTAAAAGAGGACTAGAGGAATTTGATAATCAATTGAGTGATTGATCAATTGATTATTTGCTATTAAGTCATTTTTGATTCCTACTGACCAAACTGCTAGGTTTATTCCATGATAATGCCTGGTTCGAGCCCAGTGGGGAGAAAGTCTTGCTGATTTGTGTAAAATTTAAGTACTATTTTTGTGGCAATGCAGGACAATAACATAGGCAGAACACTTGTGATAGTTGAAAGCTTTACATTGATATCTTCCTCTTTTTCTTCTCAGTGTATGTAATGATGTTTTTTCTATATTTGAAATGGAGGCTGCTGAAAATGTCAAAGTACCATTTTCAGGTCAGGTAGTGAAAAGTCAGATACTTTTTGAGGGCTCAGCAGATCATCTTGTTAGCTTTGGGGATCCACCATGCTTGCTTAAGGAGCCAAATTTCCTTCACCTGTCAGTAACATCCATGGAGATGACCACCACACTGGTGTCATTTGCCTCTGACACCCATGAAAAAGGCAGAGTAATTGCTGACACTTGCCTAAAGACTGCAGTCCCCGTTGAATGCAAATTTGAGGTTACTCTTCAGGAGGGGAAATTCCCGACACAAATTCCCGACACAAGCTGGCATGTTACCTTGCAAATGCAAGCACCCTTATGGGCAATATGGACAGGTGAAAAAAAGACAAACATTATATCAGATAAAAGCCTGTCTAATAAGAATTTGTTCCCTACAGACTAACAAGTTGAAACAACAGGTTACTTATTTCCTAGTCAACTCAATTTGCCTGCAATTCTATCATACACCCCCAGCTCTTATTGTGTTCCCCCACAGTTACCTCAGAAAGTCCTGCACTGTCAGTCTTGTAAGCCTGTTGCTATAGACACGAGCTATCTCAAAAATCCAATGCAACAGCTAGACCAGAAGGAGGTGGAGGCAATCTCTCCCTGTAAGGAATGGGAAATGCACAATTCTTGCAACTTTTCCAGCATTGATAGTACATTGAGCGGCCTATCTAGATTCCATGAGGACAAACAAGTACCCTGGAATTGGTGGACTGTGAGCTTGAGCGCTGCTCACCTTGCATAGATATATTTGAGCTAGCATAGAATATGTTGCCACAGCAACCAGGTTCGGGGCCCAACATTTCCTTTCTTACCCACTGACTAGTCCTTCAGCAGAAGCAAAGGTCTCTTCCAATATGTCTGAATGAGTTGAAATATTTCTTTGGGTGCTGGCAGGTGCATCCCATCTCTCTTCAGAGAGTCCAAAGGATGCTACATTGCCTGGGATCTGTATTAGCTTGCAAGGTAGTAACTATAAATCCCATTTCTGTTCTGTTCTCCAGTAGACATCTGAGCAAGGACAGCTTAAATGAGCAGAGCAACCTTCTGAAGATAGAAAGGACTTTCTTTACTAGAGTTGAGAATTGCCTGAAAAATGGCCCCTAGTTAGACTTTTCTCATCAACTTCTGGCTGTCTGTCTTTTTATATGTATATAAAGTTTCCATGTAAAATCCCAAATTTCTTTATCTTCGTTGCAGTAAAAAGCCCTCTGCCATTTTGTGTGGGCTGATTTGAGTGCATGCTGTATTTCTTCAAAGGCCTCCAAATATCTTCGTGTGTAAGCTAGAGAAGTAGAGATGACATTTTTGAGACTCTTCAGAAATTAAGCAAGAATATTCATCTATGTAGGTGCATCTATTAGAATTGTTACAACAGTCCTAATTGAATGACCTAATGGGAATATTGCCTTGTTCATTTATTAGCAGGGGAAAAGTAGTTACAGTAATATTCTTCCCTCTTTTCAGCTTTGACAGAATGTAGTGTTAAGGAGGTCAAACTAGCACAAGAATTTGTGAACAGCAGTAAAGGATGACAAATGTTGAGTGCTCACTTTCGCTAATCAACCAGGTTGGAGAAGGGCATTTTTATGTTCCCGTCCTGTCCCCCTCTGCAGACAGCTATGTCTCTGGGCCTTTTAATAGAGGGAAGTGGGAGTAGAAAAGCTGCTTGTACATTTTGCAGTGATCTAATTTCACTTGCCCATCCTTTTCAAGTCCCACAAGCATTTTTATGTCTGCATATCAAAATGTTTTTTTTAATTAATGATTTGATTTGATTTTGATTTGATTTTATTGAAATTTGTAGGCCGCCCTTTTCCCTGAGGGGACTCAGGGCGGCTCACATAAAATCAGGGAAGGGGAAATGTAAACAGTAACATAGACACATATAATAAAAAAACAGTAGGCAACATGCGTTCATTATTCGGGGGGGGGGCAACTATCTTCATCCCCAGGCCTGACGGGCTAGCCAGTTCTTCAAGGCTGTGCGGAAGGCCTGGACGGTGGTGAGGGTACGAATCTCCACGGGGAGTTCGTTCCAAAGGGTCGGGGCTACTACTGAGAAGGCCCTCCTCCTTGTGGTTGCCAGCCGACACTGGCTGGCCGATGGAATACGGAGGAGGCCCAATCTGTGTGATCTAATTGGTCGCAGGGAGGTAATTGGCAGAAGGCGGTCTCTCAAGTATCCAGATCCACTACCATGCAGGGCTTTATGGGTGACTAATAGCACCTTGAAGCGCATCCGGAAATCGACAGGTAGCCAGCGCAGCTCGCGGAGGATAGGTGTAATGTGGGTGAACCGTGGTGCACCCACAATCGCTCGCGCGGCCGCGTTCTGTACCAGCTGAAGACGCCGGATGCTCTTCAAGGGCAGCCCCATGTAGAGCACATTGCAGTATTCCAGCCTAGAGGTCACAAGGGCCCGAGTGACTGTTGTGAGTGCCTCCCGATTCAGGTAGGGTCGCAACTGGCGCACCAGGTGAACCTGGGCGAATGCCCCCCTAGCCACAGCCGTCAAGTGATGGTCAAACGATAGCTGTGGATCTAGGAGGACTCCCAAGTTGCGAACCCTCTCTGAGGGGTATAGAATTTGACCCCCCAGCCTGAGAGATGGAATATTGGTGGAATCTTTGGGAGGGAAACACAACAGCCACTCGGTCTTTTCTGGGTTGAGCACAAGCTTGTTAGCCCTCATCCAGTCCATAACAGCCTCCAGGCCTCGGTTCATCACGTCTGCCGCTTCATTGAGTTGGCACGGGGCGGACAGATACAATTGAGTATCGTCCGCATATTGATGGTATCTGATCCCGTGCCTGCGGATGATCTCTCCCAGCGGTTTCATGTAGATGTTGAATAGTAGGGGGGATAAGACCGAGCCCTGAGGCACCCCATATGTTAGGGGCCTAGGGGACGATCTCTGCCCCCCCACTAACACCGACTGCGACCTGTCCGAGAGGTAGGAAGAGAACCACCGCAGCACGGTGCCTCCCACTCCCACCTCCCGCAGTCGTCGCAGAAGGATACCATGGTCGATGGTATCGAAAGCCGCTGAGAGGTCAAGGAGAACCAGGATGGAGGAGAATCCTCCATCTCTGGCTCTCCAGAGATCATCGGTCAATGCGACCAAAGCGGTTTCTGTGCTGTAACCGGGTCTGAAGCCTGACTGGAAGGGGTCAAGATAGTTTGCTTCCTCCAAGGACCGTTGGAGCTGAAAGGCCACCACCTTCTCAACAACCTTCCCGAGGAAGGGAAGGTTGGAGACTGGGCGATAGTTATTAAGAACAGCTGGATCCAAGGATGGCTTCTTTAGGAGGGGTCTCACCACTGCCGCTTTCAGTGCGGCGGGGAAGTTCCCCTCCCGAAGAGAGGCGGTCACAACCGCCTGGATCCAGCCTCGTGTCACCTCACTACTGTTAGTAACCAGCCATGAGGGACACGGATCCAGTACGCAGGTGGAGGCACTTACAGCCCTCATGGCCTTGTCCACATCCCCGGGGGTAACATCCTGAAACTCAACCCAGAGATGTTCCACCTGATCCTCTTGTGCCTCGGCTGGAACTGCGGGGATGGAGTCCAAGTCCGACCGAAACCGAGCAATTTTGTCCGCTAAGAATTGATGTTTTTCTTCTTCAGCTTCTTTAAATGTAACTGAACATATTTTCTTTTATAAACTAAATTTATGTATATTACTATATCTGATGTATGAAATTGAAAAGATTATTAAAGATTTTTGTTCATTGCTACTTGCTCTGTGTATCTACTGCAGCCAGTCTAACTCACAAAAAAAGAAAATGTGTATGCATAGAAGACTACAGTAATAAAAGTAATGTTATTAATAAAGCATCTAACATTTTTCAGAAAAACACATCAGCTTGTAGTACTACTACATCAGTAGTAGTAACCAATGCCTAAAATATTTCTTTTTCCCCTTTTAAGCTCCATTTTTAAAAAAAATGAGAGGTACAGAATCATGGTTCCACCACAAATGCGTGCACAACAAAAGCACGCCTGACTAAACCGCGGTGTCTAAACCGCGGTGAGAAAACCGCGCGACAAATGAGCGACTAATTAGCCCTAAAGCACGCCGACAAAAGTGCGCTGACAGAAGCGCACTGTAACGTAACCCTAAACCTAACCCTAAACCTAACCCTAAACCTAACCCTAAACCTAACCCTAAACCTAACCCTAAACCTAACCCTAAACCTAACCCTAAACCTAACTGTAAATCTTACCTTAAATTAAATCGCGCTTCTGTCGGCGCGCTGTTGTCGGCGCGCTATTGTCGGCGTGCTTTTGACATCACGGTTTTAGCGCCGCGGTGTTGTCAGCGTGCTTATGACGTTCGCGCTTTTGACGGGTCACGCAGAATCATAAGTATACAGAACTAGCTGTTTGTCTTCTGAAAATCTCTTCCGAAACCAAAGTCTCAGGTTGCACTTGCTTCAACACAGAAGGTTTGGCATGGTGGAGATATTGCTTTTTGTATGAGAAATTAACATGGTAATTCCATGTTATATATAATGACCGGGTCCACACATCACTTTAAAATGATAACTTGGTTAAATGAAGGAATAAGCAAGGTGAATTTCTTGCCCCCTCCTGTATTTCTTTTTCAGCTGAATGATGACACACCTAAACCCATTCTTCTCTGTGTACATACATAGCAAAAGCATATATTTGAGATGCATGTCACTTCTGTTTTAGTCCCCGGAAATATTCAGCAACTTTTACCAGAAGCTTTCATTTATATTTTCTGCTACTGTTTGCATTATAAATAATGCCACAGTAATTGCCACACTATGTCTTTGTTCATTTTTGTTCTTCACAGTAAAGACTTTTCTCCCACAAAATTTAATTTTCTAAAGAAATTGGTGGCATAAATAATAAAAACAACAAGAATACAATAGTACTTTAAATGAATGGAATCAACTGAAGGCTCTTTCACTCTTTTCCAAACACCAGGAATTTACATAGTAAAAGATAATTAAATCTAGTTTCTAAACTAAAACAACTACAGGAAAAATATTCTAATTAAAATTAGGAGACCTGGACTCTATAACTTCTTGATTCACCTCAAACAGGTTGATACAGCAACATACAAATGGAAGAAATTATCCTAAAAGGTTTTTAAAATGGAGTGATAATACAGAAATCATTGTAATGTAACAGAAGGTCAGTGTTTGCATCCTTTACAGAATTTGTATTAATAAAATAACAACTCCAGACTATTGTAGAAGCCACCATATTCTGGTTTTAAGCAGAAGTGAGAAAAAAGTTACAAGGAACATGAGAGTCATGTCTTAAAAAATATACTGGTATGACCTCTATTTTAATTATAGTAATCATAAAACAATCTAGTATGTTTGGATGCTTAGCATTTTATGATAAAAAAAGTCTAGATGTGGTGATGGAGAGAATTTAGAAAGCCTATAATCCACTAAAGAAGAAAAAGATGGTCCTCTTGTTATTTAGATAATAAGTGATCTCAAAAAATTGCATCTTGCATACATAAATGTGCATCTCTAAGCCTGATCAAAATCCTTATTCTTAAATATGCCACTCATGTAATTTAAAGGTAAGGCAGGGTACTTGAAACAATGAACAAATTGCAACAATTACTTCATAGCTATTAAAAGGTTGGAGGACAGTTTGGGAACATAGCCACACTTTATTTGCCTGTATCAATTGACCACTAAAACAAGTTTTATAAAAACTGAATTATATCAGAAAAGAGAAAAAGCAGGAAGAAGTTACTTGAGCTGCATCACATCCTACCTTGCCAGTTTCCCCATTGAGTTTGCATATGAGAAACTGGTGGGGAAAATTACAAATGGCAATCACATCATTATGGCTCTTTGCAACTTACAGTAATTACACTCTGGACATACAAATGCCCTGATGGTGATTATCTGACTGCGGGGATGTTACTACAGCCGTAACTTGGAGGACCAGTTTTATGTCCCTTTTTTTCAGTGATACCGTAACTTTGAATAACCATTCAAATTTATGGTATCACTGAAAAATGGACATAAAACTGGCCCTTCAAGTTACAGCTGAGCAAATAGATGTAAACTGAGGGCTACCTATAGTAGATGGTGACTCAAACTTGTGAATGGAAGTACGGTACATGGTACAGTACTATAATGCACAATCTTCGTGGTGTACCATGTTTGCTGGTCAGTTTGCCTTCTATATACGTAGAAATGCTATCTGTACAAGATTGCTCATTACTGGCTGGCTTAGTATGACTTACTAAATAAGATTTAATTTTATCTAAATAGGTCAGGCTTACTCTTCTGGCCTGAGTAAAGTGGATGGAATTAAGCATAATTTACAGGCTCCCTGGTAATAGTGGAAGGCATTCTGAACCTTTTGAAAGACAAAATCTTTGACTTTACATTCAAAGCTTCAATAAAATCGAGAATCTGGTCAATCTCCAAAGGTGGCAGCTCCTTATTATATAAATGATCAATGTTTGTGCCTATGATTTATTAGAAAATTTTATTGTGACTTGACTGATTGTCAACAATCAGTTTATGTGTGCGTGCAGGAGGCTGGTGTGTGTGTGTGTGTGTGTGTGTGTGTGTGTCAGTGAGTGAGTGACACCCCTCTCCTTTTGTGAGTTTTACTGCCTTCTCTCATGCTTCTCCATACAGAAAGTCTGTGTATGGAGCTGGAGAGCAAGCGAGCACCAGAGACGGCTCTTCCATGCTAAAAAGGCAGGAGGAGGGATCTTTGTAGCTCACGTGTCCCTTTTCTCTCTTGCTCCCCCCCTGCAATTCTCCACAGTTCTCCCTCACATCATGTTAGGCTCTTCTATCCATCACTGCATAATCAAGAGGAAGAATTTTTTGTCTTTCTCCTATCTGTCTCCAACTCTTTGCTGGTTCTGATTTGCCTCTGCAAAAGATTCCCATCACCTGCCCTCAACTGCTTTTTCTTCCACACCTCTTCTTCCACCCTTCTCTTTCTCAGAAATAATCCAGAAGGAAGAGCAAAGAGGAAAAGCAAGGAGAGGCAAGGCAAGGACCAGTAAGAATCCCAGACTTTCAATGCAAAGCAAAAGAAAACGAAGAAAGGGCACCACAATCTGCCTTCCTTGCATGCCAGACAGCTGGTGCCAACTCTGGTTCCGATTATGAAGGCATTATGAGCTGCTCGCTCCAGAACTGGGTGTTGACAGCTTTCTGCTGCCTGCTGCTTTGTCATTCAGGTGAGGGAAAAAAAACTATTTGCTTTGACCTCCCAACTTTCCCACCTTCTCTCTCTTTGTATTGCTTTGGAATAGTGAGCACTGTGTGAGGTAGGAAGCTGGTTACAGGCACTGGAGTACCATTCAAGCAGTGGGAGTTACATTGCATACATTTCTCAAAGTGACAGGGAGCACCATATTTCAATCCTGCCTCCTTTCTCCCCCCCACTTCTAACAATGGCTTTCATTATTCACCTTTTGGAATGGGGCACATGGGGAGGAGGGTGCTGCAATTTGCTGTTTGTAAATATATCCCTTGTTTAAAATCTCTTCTTTATAGACACATTTTTACATTCCATCAGCTGGGACTGCAGTCTTTTCTGCTGCATCGACACATTTTCTGCAGTTTCTTTCTGAGGTGGAGATGGTTAAGCAACAGCTGGGGAGGGTGGCTAAAATCGCCTGTCAGGTTTACCTGGGAATAGGGCAGGGGGGTGGAGGATTTCAAGCTTATACGGGTGACAGCTCTGCTCATAGATATCTTGGTAAACATGAATGAATTAGATGAAAGAATCTGGGGAAATGGGAAAAAGACTGAAATTCTTGGGGATGCAGTAACCCAGGGTTCAGCTTAAGTATTTTAGATGCTGGGGCCAGTCCAAAAATACATGTGATTATAACGAACAAAAGGGGACACAATCCTTGAGTACATGCAGAGTGCATTTCCTTCATTGTTCCAGGAAAGGTTTAACCTCAGCACCTGTCATTTTTAGAATGTAAAGTACTGGGCATGCCCAAAAGAAAGTGAATAAGGTTGTGAGAAAGGGCATCGAGATGGCCGTTTCAATATGGATCGGCTTTTCTTTATACTAGCTATGTGCAAGTGTCCTGCCAATCATTGACATTTAGTATACACCAAGGTTTGGCTTAGCTTAGTTTGACTGAGAATGCATTAGAATATAGCCCTCAGGTGTCTTCTGGAGCTCAGCCTACAATCTAGGCCAGCTTATCTGAGTATATTCAGATTTTTGCCTTCTCCACTGATATCAAAATGACCTGTTTCCCTTCCACACCAGATTTTATAAACAAGGACTTTCACTTCCAAGTGGATTGAACCCCTTTTGTTGATCTTCCAGCTACTCTTTTCTCTTTGCTTTAATTGCATCTTGCACAACAATTGTTGATTTTGTTCTGTTTTTCTTTTTGGAGGTTTTGTGAAGGCAGATCCACAGCCTGGTGATTCGCGGAGGTGGGTCCCAAATTCCAGTTGGCGCAAAAGATGGGGTATTTCAGAAATCACATATCCCACTAGGCTGGTGAAACACAATTCTGGGGGAGAGATCCAGAAGTATCAGCTGGACACAAGAGTGAGAAAAGAGACTGGTGGCAGCAGAGGAGGCGACAGAAAAGGAGGAAGCCCTGTAAGTGATTCCAAGAACCTTCTCCCACTCACCATTTCATTAGCTGGTTTTCTTTTTCTTCTCACAGCTTTGTACTAGGGTTCCTACCAATAAGGCACAGGTGCTTGTGGGAGGAGAGAGCAGACTCCAAGCTGTTCTTTGAAGCCAGATGGTATACACATGTAATGGCTGGGTGGCAATAGTTACTTCTAACTTTTTAACTGGCAGCACTTTGGGCCGCAGTTTTAGACAACTCAAGCATTTTTCCAGGACAAGAAGTAAAATATTTCAGCTGGCATTCCATCTCCTGCCCCCTGTTGCCAAAGCCAATTCTTGCCAGCATTCTGAGTTACATATGTCATGGGAAGAGACTTTGGAGAAGTTATCCTTGTTCAGAAGATGTTTTCATCCCAAAACATCACTTATATTTATCATTCCTATGGAATCAGTAGCAATAATAGTTGTTCATATATCTTACTAAGCTATGATTTATTGAATCATAACTTATTAAACAAAGTACTATTATTTGGATTTACACAGTACAGTGTACCATAAAAACCAATGACTTTTCTTTCTGCAGACCATTAAATTGTCATAAAAAAATGAGAACTACTACATATGCCAAGGCTAGCAACATACTGACATGCATTCCCCAGATATTACCCCAAGGAGCCCAAATGAAATAAAAAATAATCAAAGAATGAATGGCCATATATGATGATATTTTGGTATTCTCACCTAAAACACTGTAAAAAATTTACCCAAACTACTACACTCTTGATAATTTCTTGAGACTGATAGTGTATAAAAATATGTGAAATACACTGCAATGTTGTGGCACAAATTCTGCCCTTGTGCATTTTTATGCAATGCAAGTTCAAAAGCCAAAGCTTGTGTCATGATCTCACAACTCACATTTTATCATTTTTAAGTCATTACTGGTTGCAGATGCTTGTTTGTATCTCTGTAATTTATTATGATCTCAGTCTTTTATTCAGGAACTACTAATGGATGATAATTAATAAACATAATAAGACTTCCAATTACTATGTGCGTGGCCCACCTATGGTCTCTAATTATAGACTGAGATCACTGACAATCGATCATGGTTTAAAAAGCATACTATAGGCAAATTCTAAACCCAAGCTAACAAAAATGTACTTGCAAGACTTGCATTGCTCTGTTAGAATTTGCTCAACTGATTTGACTCTGCCTGTAAAAGCAGCCTATTGTCCCCCCAGTTGGGTGAGGTCAAGCAGGAAGCATTGCTTTTCCATGGTAGAGACAGCCCTCAGGAAGACTTTTCCCGTCCATCTTTTTCCACTTGGCAGAAGATGAAGATGAAATTCTTTTAAGAGGGCATTTAGAACATGAGCCCACTTGACGGTTGTTGACAGTTGTTAGTAGGTTTTTCAGTATTTTGTTTCTGTATTATTATATATTCTGTGTTTTATTCCTTTTTGTAAGCTGCTATGTATCTGTTTAGATCAGTGTTTCTCAACCTTGGTAACCACAGTCCAGGCCTTCCGCACAGCCCTCAAGATCTGGCTAGCCCGTCAGGCCTGGGGATAAATTTTCTTGCCCCCCCCGAATACTGAGTGAATGTTGTGTTCTAGTACTTTTTAGTTATTTCACATTTTCTTTTGTATTTTGTCTTTCACTCCCCTTCCCTTACTATTGTAAGCCGCCCTGAGTCCCCTCAGGGAAAAGGGCGGCCTATAAATGCTAAATAAAATCTAAAAAAATCTAAATCTAACTTGAAAAGGTGTATACTTTAATTTCCAGAATTCCCCAGCCAGTATGGTTTAGATTGTGATGTGATATAAACAAACAAACCACAATTGCTATATTCCTACAACAATCTGTCTTCTTCAATAAATTGAATCATGGCTGAAGACGATGACTATATTTTTATAACCTGCTGAAGCACAAAATTGCTAACCTGTATTTATCTAGCCTAATGTGTTATGTGAACTTAACTCTTGAGCTGGTAATGCACTGCAGCTAAACTCATCCTTCTGAAATAAGGTAATATGGTGTGGATAATGGGATCTGGGATTATTTTTTCACCTTTTGGAGATGATAGACATTGCTCTAGAACCCAATCTGAAGAATTCAAATTATGGACATCATGGAGGGACATCAGAACAGTATAATACCTAAGGAAGTTAAAATTGCAATTGAGAGACTGCCTGCTGCCAATTACCTCCCAAAGACCCGTTAGATCACACAGGGTCGGCCTCCTCCGGGTTCCGTCCACCAGCCAATGCCATCTGGCTACCATCCGGGGGAGGGCCTTCTCTGTAGCAGCTCCGGCCCTTTGGAATGAACTCCCCGCGGAGATTCGGACCCTCACCTCTCTCCAGGCCTTCCGGAACGCCATCAAAACCTGGCTGTGCCGGCAGGCCTGGGGTTGATGAGTTCCCCTCCCCTCTCGACTTGTATGGCTGTGTGATTCTCGTGTATTTTAATTACGTGTATTGTGTTTTATGTCCCCTTTCCCCCCCTGAGTTGTTCGCCGCCCTGAGTCCCTCCCGGAGAAGGGCGGCATACAAATAAACTAAATCAATCAATCAATCAATCTTTTAAATAGAAAGTATCAGTAGTTTAGGATTACTTCCATTTCCTATTTTCTTTTTAGTCAATTTCATCTTTGTCAGTGTTTCTTGAAGTAGTACTGTTGGTAATTAAAGATGAGCTTTACATACTGAGCACAATATAAAAGCAAAATATTTCACAATTAGTTCTCAATTTGTGTCCATGAAAAAAAGAAACGATGAAAGACTAAAACTGCTAGAAAATAGAAGAACTATTGTACTTGCAAGATGTCTCGGCCATCCTTATTCCTTTTTAAAAACTCTTTAAATCCGAGTTTCCAGATAGCTGGATTCCATGATTTTAGAAGCAGGGTATTACGAGGTCATTATTTATGTAGGAGCATATTAAGTAAACAAAATCTTTCTCAGAACTGATCAGCTTTGCAGTATGCAGTTTCTGATTTAGCATTCATATAAACATTAAATCAATTAATGCTTAATTGATTGCTGGTTGTGTTTGTAGACTCACTATCCAGTTAACCAAACCATAGTTTACTGAATTCGCTCAACTCTCTATGATGGCACAATGCATGGAACCAAAAGCTAGCCAAACATTTTTTAGTATGCAAATCCAATTTTTGGACTATTAAAAGAAAAAAAAACAGACAGAAGTCACAGAACATTAGCAGCAAAGCAATAATGCATTCTTAAGTCATTCTAGATTGTTCTCCCTTTTGATGCTTGCCTCCGAAATGAGAACTTTTTTTGAAAAATGAAAAATTTAATAATAACATTTACCTTCACTCTCTTGCCCATACCTTTTCTAGCATTGTTGGATTACAACTCTCATCACACCTAGCTAATTATATTGTATTTCCTATCTGGAAAGCAGCAAGTTAGGAAAAATAGTCTGAATAGATATGTCATTTACTTCCTGATTTCAGTTCACCTTTCCCCCTTTTGTGTTCTGCTGTCTCTGCTTTCTGTTCCTTTCTCAAAGGCTGTGTTTACATATAACCCTGAGCCCCCATCTGACCACATTTTAGTTTTGCAAACATACCCATCCAAGTTGTTAGCATGTTGTGTGAACTCATACTGGGTTCACTAAAAAAGAAAAAGTTGATAAATTGCAATTAATTGTGTATTACAAGCTCAGCCAGTGAGAATTATGACATTGCTGATTTTGGATTCAGAAAGGTGGGAGCCTAGATAGGATTGTGATAATTGCATTATGTTGCCATGATTCAAATGGTGTGATTTACATTCTTGCATCATGAACATTTGTGTGTGTTGATGTTATGTTGCACAAGTCAATATTCTGATGCACAGAGCCTGTTGTGGACATGTATGCCTGTCATAGATAGTTTCTTCAGGAAAGATATGCCTGACCTTTATAAGGATACTCGCATAGCTATTTATAGTGTAATACAGTAATAGATTTTTTTATAATGTCTCAAAACATAAAGCATCATTAGTTAAATATTTGTGGGAAACTTGTGCATTCCTATTGGATCTCTTAATCTCATCCACTCACATGTTCATCTTTCTCTTGTTCTACTGACCTCAGTATGCCAACAACATACTGTAGATTAAATTAGAGATCTTAAAGCAATTGAAAGAAGGCTTATATGCAGAACTGCCTTAATTTTAAAAATCCTGCCAAGCATAAGTGGCCAGGGGATGAAGCTGCAGGGAGAATTGGATATTTTTGACAGTTTTTCTTCTTTCTAAAAAATAAATAAATAAAATGTAAAACTCCAGATAATAGCTACTTCAACTACCAGGTTCAGAAAGTTGCTATACTCTTAATAAGTATAGAGTATAGGGGTGAGACAAATTGTTATACAGAGGGAATTATTTTTTTAACTGAGCATTCATAATTCAGTAAAGAAATAGAAGTTCTTCTTTGCCTCCAGAGTAAAGATATGTTAATGAATATGGTCTGTTTTTAATATATCTTGTTAGATATTCTAGCTAAATGAAAGCCATTGCTCTTATTAATTTATCCAGCTTTTTAAAAATATATTTAGACATATATCACACATATTGTGGGTTCGGTTATAAATCATAGAAAGCGGATATTTCAATAGAGTTTTTTCCCCAAGTGCATATATAATTACATCATACTGTATTCTATTGTACTATTAAGTGTGCAATAGCATTATGTCTGAAAATGTACATACCTTAATTAGAAATGCTTGGTCGCTAAAATGCTAATAATCTGAGCTTTAGCTAGTTCTAATCTTTTTCTGATGGAGGGTGAAAAAAGAAATGCAGTATCTGTGAAGTGCACTAAAGTGAAGCATATAATGAATAACTGAATAACTCAAGAAGCTGAACATATTTAATAGTTCTGCTTCTGTATTCTGCACAACAACCCTGTGAAGGCGGAGAGAGAAATGACTGCCCTAAATTCACCCAGCTGCCTTTCATGCCTAAGGGAGACTAGAACTCACAGTCTCCTGGTTTTTAACAGGAGAAATC